ACTAGCCCGTACCCAGACCTCCGCCGTTTCAGAGCACGCCCACAACACAGGATACCAACCGCTTTGAAGTAAGGTTAAGTTTATTGATCGTGGAAGGGCCAGAGAGGCTATTCACATAAGACTTCACCCTAGTGACATCAACAGGAACAGTGATATAGAAATTCCTGAAGCGTGGATGCCCACCTTCGAAAAACGAAGACGTAAGACAGCGGACCGTCGAGGGAACAACTCACTAACATCGAGGATCGAAACTCGCTAATCACAACTGTGGAAAAAACCAACCAACCACAGCGGAGAATCCTGCTTTATAAGAAGACCCGAAACCAGGAGCCTAATTACCTGACGTAGACTAGTAGTAGCAGTATGCAGTCGAAACGTCCCGATTCACAACACAAGTACCCACGAGTACCCACAAGTACCCACATCGCGAGACAAACGATAATACTCTATTATTTATTACTATTATTATTGAGATGAAAATTTTTACCCTGAAGCTCTTCCAGACATTTCTGGTATGTAAATAACTTCTTTTTTTTGAGCCAAAATGTCTTTGCATGTAAATAGAGTTAATAAAGGCCAGTTTAGAACCAGAATCGGCCAAATTGATGTACAGCTTCATAAACTCCACAAGCAAACAATTGTGTTACAGTAACACCTGCCTGACAGTATAAAAAGAGAATTTACATGATTACATAGCGCAAATGTATGTAGCTTAAATTAGTATTCCTCACTCTTAATGGGTTTTTCATTCATATTTAAAACATTGGACAGAATCAATCAATTTTTTTTAGCATAATGTTGTAAAATACGGCTTGTGTCAACAACCCGCACGTAATTGTGTTCCGTTAGTTATGGCCCAAAATGAAGCCATTACAGAAAAAGTGTGTTGAGATGCCATCTTTATATCACCTCAAGGCAACTTTTGTCAACTTCGGGATCCATGTTTACAATTTATTGCCGCTATATATTTAACTGAGCTCCGGTCTAGCTGTTTTAATTGAGCTTAGTTCTTGAATAATAAGCATTTTACAACCCTGTGCGTCTACGACGTAAATGAAAAAAGGAAATAATTGAAAACCCACTGTTTATCTTCAAGATCTCAATAGTTTGTTTTTATACTGGCTATCTAGCACTTTAATGGCTGGCGGTAGAGCATAATACAAAGATGACCAGCTTAATTTTTGGGAAGAATTACCGCTTAAATTTCGTATTCAAAATGCAGAGAATGTTGGGAGGCAGATAGAAATAGCACAGATAATGAGAGAGATGAATCTAAAAAAAAGTTTAATAAAGTGGAAAGCAAGGTTTCTGTCAGAAGATAAGCTTATCCTTCTATTGGTAAACTATTAATGTAAAGCAATTTTTAAAAAAAATCCTGCTGTATTTTTAATTGCTATTTTCCTTTCTCTGTAATGTCAATGCTTTTTAGTTTTGTTATTAATTATTACTTATCTAAATGAAAACCTCTTTATTCTGATTGGTTGTAAGCAATGTAGTTATCAGCTGACCAAAATACATACGAAAGTTAATAGAGGGTAGAAAAGACTGAATTCAGTACAAATTCAGTTTCTCCTGAATTCCAGGAGAAACTAGCGACAGAGTGCACCACCCCAATCGAAAGGCATCAAGGGTTCTCAACCTGTGTTTTTTTAGCCGTCTTTACTCTCTGCTCTCTGATGCAGAAAATTCACTTTCCTTTTTTCTTTTCCCTTTAACCATCCTCACTCTGATTGGCTGATTGACTCTGATTTACTCTTACTCTGAGTAACTCTGGTCGACTCTCTTCAGTTATTCACTCGGTTGACTGACTCCCTCTCTCTCTTTGATTCTCACTAATTACTAACTCAAAAGCTCATGCTTTTATACACACTATTGGTAGGCAGAAATGTGAATGTAGCCAAAGCAACCTCGGAAAATTAAACATTTCACAGGACGAAAATTGCAAGAATCCGTAAACGGAAACGTGGCAGAAACATGTTAAACCGTTCTGGAAACACGACGGATAACCTATGTTTCCGTTACCGGTTTCGTGATGTTTTCTCGCGTTTCCGTTGCTGCGTATACAACGGAACCGGACCACTTTTTGTGCATGTTAAACATAACGGAAACATGGAGTTGCATGTTTCCGCCACGTTTCAGAAATACGGAAACATGTGATTTCGTCCTGTGTTTGTTATCAGAATAATAGCCCAAACACTGTCACAAGAAAGTGGCAAATGAACAACAACTAATCAAACGATCAATTTTTAACTGAATGCGATCCAAGGAGAAGTCAGCAGACTAACTAAGCACGTCAACTAATAAAATTCAGACCTGACAGGCTCAATCAGTCATTCGTCACGATGGCTGAAATCCAAATTAATTCGGATTTTGTATTCAAATCTTCACCAAAAGCTATATAAACAAACTCCTAAAAACTTGATTCATTAATTACAAACTTTACATCAACATGTTCAGCGGAGCTTTGAGATTTTTATGGCTTAGAAATTTCTGAAAAAAAACATCATTTAGGAAATTGTACGTTTGACTAAAAAATTGTCTCGTCTTGTCTTGTTTTAAGATGCCATTTGCAGGTTTAAATATTTTTTTTTCATGTTATTTGCGCAAAATGCTTGCTTTTAAGTTATAAACAAGTAACGAAATGATATTTTCCATGCAATCTAGAATTACTTAGCAATCGTACTTTTTTTAAAGACTACTTGTCCTGAGGGGTCGTGCATTTTTCCTTGATAAAAAAATGACGCGTATTCCTTTTTTTCCAAATTCCCCCCAAAAATTATTGGATTACTGGGCTGCAAAAAGTAAAAGAAACGAACTGAAACTCGTTTTATTGCAAAAATGTTGAAGTCTTCTTGAAAACCCTAATTTTAAGGGAACCATTACTATCAGTTATCGATACATCCAACAAGATATAATGTAATTCTACGACAAAAGTGTTCATAGCAATCGCACTTATAAATCTGTTGTTAAGTGAATCGACTTCCTTGCAGATCTAACAACGAGAGGGTAGGTTTCGCAGATTTAAAATCAAGAAACTAACATAAATGAACTGACTTAATTGAGCTTTTCTGTCTTCGTTTGAATAAATGCCACTAACACTTTAGGGTTGCTGTCGCTCGCTAAATGATTGGTTTTTTTTTTTGTTCTTTTTTTTTTTACTTGGTCATCGAAATGTAACATAACTCTGTTTATAAATTTACAGGGAACCTACGAGTCCAAAGCTCGCAAGAGCCCCACGCGCTTTTGTAGTCCATCGATCGTTTTTTGATCGGCACTGTGAAATGTATTTTCTTGTGCATGCGAACGCAAAGGCAGGTAATTCAATTTGTCAATCATCGTTAGTTTTGTGTTTAATTGCTTGCGCGCACTTACCATTGGACCAAATCATTAAAAATTTAACAATTGGTTCACACGTCAGCGTGCGTTCATCGAGATATGAAGCACGCGGGAAGTTTGGAGAGCACGAAAGATGCGTAAGAGTTGCTCTCGGCTACGCCTCGAGCAACTCTAGCTTCTTGAATGCTCTCCAAACTTCCCAAGTGCTTCATATCTCGATGAACGCACAGCTGACGTATGAACCAATTGTTTTATAACATTTTCAACCCGATGGAAAATTTTTTTTCTCGAGGGATTTGTTTGCTGACGTCATGAGTGTGCACAATAGGAATATGAAGCACGCTCGCGCAAATGAATTTGATTAGACAAATTTACTAGCTATGTTAATGCTTTTTTATTTTCTGCTTTTTCTTAACCTTAACGATTTCGTCAAAAGCGACGCTTGCACTAAGTAGTTTCCGAAAGACACCCCTGAAGATCAACAGGAACCTTAACTTTATTTTGAAATTGTAAAGTTAATAGCAAATAAGTTATGGCATATTCTACAGCGATCACCTTTGTAGTTGCGTAAACGTTTGTCACGACATTGGAGATTTTAGGCAGTTCATAATTACATGGTTTAAGAAAAACTTTATGCATTGCAAAATGTAAGTCGTCTGGTTCAACACTGCATAATGACACTCCTTTCAAATGTTAATCTGGTTCAATGAACGGTGAGAACCCCAAGGCATTTCCACTGTTGCTATTGGCTTCACCGTTTTATCCATCTAACGGGTAATCTTTTTTACCCAAAATCAGTTGCTTAGTACTGAAATTCTCACTAACAGTCATCGTGAACCTTCTTTGAATTCAGGTTTATCCAGACGCATACAGTACTGCTACAAAAGTAATGTAAACGATAGGCGTCCACTATCGCGTTAATCGCCATTTAACGACGATATTTGAATAATATTTTAGTTGGAACAATGTATCGGCATATATCGCAGAACGATTGTTCTAACAGCCCCAATCTATTGAAATCATTTAACTCGTCAAGAAATTAAAATGTGACAGGCAACCTTTTGTGATGAAAAGTTCAGTCTTAAAAATTCTCCACGGCATTTGATCTATCTTCATCATTATGAATTTGATGATCTACGCTATAAATAAAGGGGTAAGTTTCTAAAGAAACTGTGGTGCTGCGTCGGTGGGAGAGTATAGCAGGTAATTTAATGTTAACAACAGGTTTGAAAACGTAATTAGCCACCGTAAAGGGTAAAAAAGCTGACGTTTCGAGCGTTAGCCCTTCAGCAGCTAATGCTCGAAACTTACCCCTTTATTTATAGTGAAGGTTATCAAATTCATGATGAAGATAGATAAACTGCCGTGGAGAATTTTTAAGGCTGCATAAATATATAATTATCTTTATATATAAATATAAATAAATATCTTTATAAATATAAATATCTTACGTACCAGCTGACGCAGCATGGTAGTTTCTTTAGGAACTAAGCAGCTGCCGCCTTTATAAAAGCTACCTTGGTCAGGGCAAAAAGTTTTCACAATCAGTAACACGCAATTGCTGATCGCGAGAGAGCCACCCTTCGATGTTTTTAATCCATCTGCAGTCAAATTATTTACACACATAATTAACAAGCAAACATCTGTTTGCCTAGTAGTACAGCATGGCCGACGAATTATGTCTAACGCTCCCTACATCAAAGTGGAACATTGTGTTAACCACGACTCTCGGTCTGTTGATCTCCATTATCGCGTCTACAACAAACGTATTAATACTCACAGCAATCTATAAGAAGCCATCACTTCATACTATCACATATTACTGCCTAGCTTCCTTAGCAGTTGGTGATTTATTTGTCGGAATCGTTGCTCTTCCGCTTTGGATTACAAGATCTTTGTTATCAATCGCCGACGAGGAACACCCCCTTAGTGTAGCTGTAGACTGCGTTTATGTTCTGTCTGTTGGTACATCAACATATAACTTGTGTACAGTCAGCTTAGAGAGATACGTCGGAGTTGTTTTGCCTTTGCGGTACAACGTCATTGCAACCAGAAGACGACTTCAGTATGCAGTAACGACCGTATGGGTTCTTTCAAGCAGTATCGCCTGCCTTCGTTTGGTTATTGATGAAGATTCTTACTGGTTGGTGGCCATATCTACATTATTTTTTTTCCCGGGAATAACCATTTCTTACTGTTACGTTTGCATTTTCAAAGAAGCGTCCCGACAGTCAAGAGCTATTGCTCAGCAGAGCGGGTTCCCTTCACCAGTGAATCAAATCCACAACAGAAAGGCGTCCTTGACCATTGCGATAGTTATCAGTGTGTTTTATTTGACAGCCTTACCAGCTTTGGCCTTTTCCATAGCTGAGCTGGTCTCACAAAAGCAAATGTCTTGTGAACAGAAAAAATCATTCGAGTCTTGGGGAACTTGGGCGCTCTTTTCTGCCTTCTCGAATGCAGCCATTAATCCGTGGGTTTATGCTGCCCGGAAAAGTGAATTTAAAGGTGCTTTAAAGGTGTTGAAGATTTGGAACTACGTGTGTTAGGCATGCATAAGTTATTATGGGCTGGTCAGTTTGTGTAAGTTATTTTTTCATCATGAAGATGGAAAGCAAATAAAAAAGTTTTGGAATTTTCAATTTCGTGGAAGACCACAAAAACAGCCCCGTGAAGATTAAGAAAAATTGAAATACAGTGAGGCTATGTTCCACGAAAATGGAAACTTCGCACGGAAGCAGAATTTTGTTTTAATTTTTTGTTGGAATAATCAACTCACGTAGATTTCAAAAAAAGTACTGATGTATATTTTTCGGTGTCAATTGTTTTTGTTTTCATCGAGAATTAGTTATTCCTCCTTGAACAGCAAATGTTGATATGCAAATAACACAAACAATTCAATCCGAAAAAAAATAAATAGCTTAAATTGTCGGATCTTGGCTTATCAGTAAAACTTAGGCATTCTGGAGTTCTTAAAGCTTCACCCATTACATTTAATAAAGCACTGAAATATGTAATGGCTTTGAAATAAAAAAGAAAGCTGTGAAGACTTCATTGAAACTGGCTGAGTCAGAAGATCTCAGAAGTAAAATTTGCATTTAAGCTGAAAGAGAAAAAATATCTAAAACAGCTGCAGTGACATAAATATTCAATTTAATCTCCTTCCTTTGTCCAAACGATCTCGCCTACAGTTTGAAAATATTCAATTTAATCTCCTTGCTTTGTCCAAACGATCTCGCCTACAGTTTGAAAATTGGGTCCTTTAAAAAGGAAAAGGGCTTTTCCAAGGGTCGTTGATCGATATTTAATTGACTGCAATTTCTTTTAAGTCAAATGTGCCCCACGTTTTTAGAGAAAATATAAAACTACTGTTATAAAAGGCCTATAGCATTGTTCCGACGTTCTTGGCCTGCAGAAATGGTACGTGTTTTCTTTTGTGAAATCAGCTTCATGGCGCAGGCTGACTGAGGATAAAAGCCTTAGTAAACTTTGTTGATCGTTTGGTAAGCAAACACAAAAAAATATTGGATCCATGCTGATAGTCATACGGTCTTTAAAAATTGCTAGAGCTCGTTTCCATAGCAAAACAGACCTTCAGTTTCATAGGCCAAGTGGTATGCAGTAACATAGAGAATTTCTTCAAGAGTTCCAATTCTTCCCTTGAGAAGTTAGCTGAAATCATATCCATCGATATCGGTATCGTTTTCTGCATCTTAAGTCAACTGCTTGTGATTTTGGAAAATTTGCCTTCCATTGTTTAATAGATTCTGCTCCTTGCATTACTTTTTCTTCAAAATGAACTTTTGACTTTTCGCTGGCACAGTTGCATTTCTGCCAGTGATGAAAATTTTCTTCATTAACGATTAATCCTTTACACTAAACTGATTGAAGTCTAACTAAAAACAAAATGAACGTTTTTGACAAATAATGATAATGTCTGGTGGGCCCATAACGTTACTTTGAAAGTGAACATAAGATTGGTTAGAATAGCACCAGCATTTCTCTAGCTTCTCTTTTAAGATATGTGAGCTTTTATAAACTAAGCACCGTTTTGACTATTTTTTGATGCATCGTATTTAAATGTTTTGAAATTTCCTTACCTGCCGTTCAGTAATTAGTTCGAACTGTGTTTAATACTTAAAATATAGATTATAATGTGGAACTTTCAGAAAACGGGAAAAATCTTATTTTAAGATGTTCATTACAGGGAATAAAATAAATTTAGCGTTGACATCCTTTAAATGATAATTCACGCTGCAAAAGCTATTGATAACATATATCTATCTATGAGTCCAAAACAATTCCTTTGAATCAGACTCGTTTTCATGGGTATGTATAGCCACATGGCCCGTTATTGACAGCTGGAACTCAATATCTTTAATCTTTAGTGAAGTTTTGCGTTGGATGTCAAACGTGGCAGAATAAAATTAACGGCATACTTTGGCCATCGTCGTCAACAGAAGAAAGGAATGGCCGACCAAGCGTGCCAGGCCTTACCAACAGAGGGATGGAACATTGTATTGACGACTTTTCTGGGTCTTTTTATCTCCTTTATCGCTTCTACAACAAACGCATTAACAATCCTTGCAATCTTCAAGAAAAGATCACTCCATTTTGTCACATATTATTTCATTGCTTCTCTAGCAGTTGGTGATTTCCTTGTCGGAATTGTCGCCCTTCCACTTTGGATAGCACGGTCTCTTCTAAAAGTCGCCGACGAGGAGGACCCATTAAGTTTTGCTGTGCGCTGCTTTTACTTTTTTTTCGTCGGGATTTCGACGTATAATTTGTGCACTCTCAGCTTAGAAAGATATGTTGGTGTTATCTTGCCTTTACGCTATAACGAAATAGTAACCGTTCGACGTTTTCAGTACGCGGTAGCGTCGGTGTGGGTTCTGTCAGGCATCACCGCTTGCCTTTGTTTCGCCATTCATGAGGATACCTACTGGTTTGTGGCCGTTTTTGCAGTGTTCTTTATGCCGGGAATTGTTATTTCGTACTGCTATGTCTGTATATTTAAGGAAACATATCGTCACCCGAGAGCCAATGAACAGCTGCAAGCCGGTTCGGGATCAACAAACCAAACGCACAACAGAAAGGCGTCTTTAACGATTGCAGTTGTTATTGGCGTATTCTACATGACAACCTTGCCTGCTCTGGCTTTTTCCATCCATGAAGTTGTTTCAGGGAAGAATGCTCCGTGCCAAACGAAGAAAACACTCGAATCCTGGGGAACATGGGCGCTGTTTTTCGCCTACTCCAATGCAGCTATCAATCCATGGATATATGCTGTTAGAAAAAGAGAATTTAGAGATGCTTTAAAAATCTTGATGTTCTGGAAACACTAGGCAGGACTTGGACGATGTCTTTGCTAATCACATGAAGGAAACAGAGAGGGAAGAAGAACATGCCTCGATCTGACTGAAACAGCAGCTGGTTTAGATATCTTCAATTTCTTTGATCAGTTAGCGAGCACAGAAACAAAGCCGTATGTTAATTATTTCTTCGCGAACGGAGCAAAACTTTTTTGCGTCCTAAATCAAGCCTTAGCCTGGTCCACAGAAACTTTTGTGTTGTTTTAAACAACCCTTATCTCTTTATCTGGAAAGAAAAGTTCAGTTGCCTGCATACATTATGGTTCATTATTTACTTTGAAGCAGACCAATCATATAAATACCGAAAAGACCATATTACTAATGGCTTTGAATAAAGTGACATTAGATTCTAGGGCTGACGACGTTCTAAGATATGAAATGGACAGGTGAGAGTAGAAAATAGAAAACTGAGAATAATAATCGATTAGCAGCTGCATTGAACTCTATTTTGTATATATTAACTTACTGGTAGAGTTCGACAGCTCTGTCTCAGAACGGTTCGACTAAGTCGGGTAGCTTTGGCCCTTTTACTCGCCCGAGTGACCATATTTATACATTAACGAGCAGAAAAGTGACCAGAAAAAAGAAAAATGTCAGTAAGGGGATGATTGGTTGATCCAAAACCAAATCCTCTGAGATAACATCATTGGAATTGTATGGCAGAAAGAAAGGAGAATTACTACTGAGATCTAGGGAGTGAAATTTAACTCCATCGTTTTTTCAGCTGGCCTGACTCTGGATTAGATGATGATAAGTGAAAACAATGAAGGAAAAGACAGAAAAATCATCGAAGGAGATTTTCGTTTATTTGCTAGTAGCGTTTTATCATATAAAATGTCTTGAGAATCTTTACGCTAGTTCTCTTGCTAAGAATTTTTAACAAATCTTCGTTCTGCTAGGGTTTCATAGGCCTAATGCAAGAATGTTGTAGCCTTAAGCAAGAAAGCTAATCAAGCAAAGCCAATTTAATTAACAAAGGCAGCATGCGTAAATATCAGAGATGGAAATTGTCGGAAATATGCTTGGAACTCATGAACGAAAACGAACATAAGTACTTAAGCTGTAGAATAAAGATATCTCAAACACTCACGGAAAAACCTTCACATTTGATAGACTGAAATAAATCGAGAAATGAGCATCCACTGTTAAGAGTTATTACATGTTACACAAAAGCAAGAGACACTCCTTTGGTAAGGTTACAAGCCCCGGGAAGGGTTACTGACTCGGTCGCGTTTTAGTCACCCAAAACCCTAACCCGTAATGAAATTAATCATAAGGTAACCCAAGATAACTTGGTTAAGCTGTTAATGAAATTCATCTGGCAACTGACGTGTTTACTTGGTCGAAGTCCTCACTTAAGAAATAAAATATAACCTCTCTTTTTAACAATTGGTTATACATAACAAATGGGCGGTTAATCCCCACAAAATCCTGATTAGGGAAACCGCCGGTGTTTTAAATTTAAGCTGAACCGATCACGTATCAAATTTAAGTCTGTCACAAAATTTCCTCATAACCTTTCCCTTTTTGTAATGAAAATAGTCGACCCGATAATGCAATACCTAAAAAAGATTAAAAAGTTACTTTCTTCCCTCCTTCCAAAAGTCTTTGTTAGGCTGAATGATTAGTTACCAGCCACTTTACAAACACTTAGACCTGAGTGCGGATGAGATTAAAACTAGGTCAACGATATTTTTAGTGAAGATATTCATAGTAACTTCTAATGTGGCTGCCGTGCATCGTTTTATGAGCAGCCGGATTTAAATTATGAACCAATATTTGTAGATCTCTGTAAGCACACAATTTAGGCTTGAGGGATAATCTTCTGATAGAGAAGAGCGCTTTTACTTTATACGGTCATATGTGGATAAGACCGTATAAAGACTTATTGTTTGAGCTATCGCATTGTTCCTTCTTCTGTTTCATCGGTTTATGAAAATTTTCCTCTGGCGACAAATTGATTTGATATGAATGAATTATTCTGTCATATGGGAAGTGCCAAGTGATGACACATTCAGAATTGCATGATAGGGGGTCTTTCAGCAAATTATGTGATTATGTCAACTTCCTTGCACCAGCGCCTGATCTTCGTTTCATATCGATTATAATCTTAAAGTAACACCATTTGTGTACATTCAGAAATGAATTGGTACTGGATTCTTGGCTGGATTCCTTCAGTATTTGCTATTTTTGGAAATGGAGCGGTGATTTATCTGATTTGCGCGAGGCCCAGACTCAGAAACGTCCCAAACCACTTCGTACTGTCTCTAGCCTTTGCGGATTTCGGTGTAGGTGCTTGTTGTTTTCCAGTGCAATTCATATGCAGTTTAAATGCATCAAACTGCAGAAATCAAATCGCCGATGATATTGCCGTGCTGATGATTTACTCTTCGAATATTAATCTATGCGCGATGACTATCGACCGCTACTTGGCCATTGTACGGCCTCTAACCTACATGTCATTGATGACAACGAGGCGGGCTCGATATCTGGTCGCCTTCTCGTGGTGTGCGCCGTTGTTTTCATATTTTGTCCCTGCGCTCTGCACCAGTCTCTGTGGTTGTACTATAAACGTCAGCATCACTGTCGTCGTGTGGACCTCCATGTTCGAGTTCATTCCATGTGTTTTACTTCTGACTGTAACCTCAAAAATAATAATAACTGCAAAGAGACACTGTCGACAACTTGCGAAGATGAATAATCAATTGCAACATAACCAGCCGAATCATAAAGGTCAAAAGGGGGTTTCATCGGCGCGTGTAATTGCAACAGTTGTGGCTATTTTTATTGCATGCTACGCGCTTGAAGTGTACAGCTCTTTATGTCATTTTACCAAGTTCTGCGAGTTAACAAAGGATCTGCGCAGAGCTGTGTTTTTTCTGGTTGTAACAAACTCGGCAGCAAACCCGATCGCCTATGCCTTGTATAAATGTGACATAAAAAGAGAGCTCAGGAAAACATTCTGCAAATGGAGATCAACTACAGCAGTCAGGCGATCCACAAGTCTTTCAACAAAGGCATGAACATTTGAAAGGGGTAGGCGAAATTAGCATTTCATTCCCTTGTGCTCCAATCGTTGTCAACAAACGTCGTTTAGCAGGAAATATGTATGTACTTGTACAATTAGAATCAAATTAATAAGATTTAGGGGCAAATTCGTTTGCATGTTATCGGATATTTGGATTATCTCCCCACATAACTCAAGGACTGAGTGAAGTTGATTTATAGTTAATTTTACTGCGTTTAGCTTCTCCTTTCCCCTTAATCATGTTTATTTTTTTTCTCAAAGCTCCTTGAGCAAACAATGTGAAAAGTAAGCCTCATTAAAAGATCATTTCAAATAAACCGTTTTGATCATACTTGACCCACGTGAAGTTGTTAGGAAAACATTCTGGAGGAGCGATTTGATTCGATTATAAATGGACTGAAATAACACTTATCGGCAACGTAAAATTTGATGCTCTGCATTTTTGATGAGTTCTGAATTGTTTGGCGTCATAGTCTTACATTGGAACAACTTTAACACTTTCAAATTGGGGAATGGCGCGAGAATCCTGATGTGATTACAAGTCACGTTGCCTCAATCTTTTCGACATCAGCAAAATGGAAGAGGGATTTCTGATGTCTCTTGGTAGGCTAACATTATGACGTTATGATTATGTATGTAATGAACATTTTTACAATCGGATATTTGGAGTCCAAGTATTTTTCCCACGGGAGGATCCTGGTTTCGGCCTGTTTTCCTTTGTAAAGAAGGATATGCTATCAAAAGCACGACTTCACATTATGAAAATAACACGCCCTTGAATTTCCGTCTATCCTTCGTTTTAATTTCATTTTAGCCGAGTCACTCGTTTTCTTGCGTCATTCTGATGGGTTACTCCCTTTCTCAAAAGGAGATGCGAAAAGGTATGGTTTGATCCTTTTACACGGTTACGGTAGTGGGATATCACATATTAAATCACTGGGTGCGAACGTGGTGTAAGCATTTCCAAAGTTTCCTACACAACTTTGCTGACTTTGAATAAAGGAGGTAAGTTTCTAAAGAAACTGTGGTTCTGCGTCGGTGGGAGAGTATAGAAGGTAATTTAGTGTTAACAACTGAGTTGAAAACGTAAATTGGCCACCGTAAAGGATAAAAAAGCTGACGTTTCGAGCGTAAGCCCTTCATCAGGGCGATTGAAATTTTGCTGACTGAGCAAACGTTTACCAACATGTCAAAGACAGACACTAATAATGATGTGACAACAACAACTGTCGAAAAGGCAACAGTTGAACAATTTAAGTTATCCTAACTCGCAATCATATCTACACATTTTGAGTATACATAAGTGAAATACCTATCTTAGAATCTGGGGCAAAACTAACATAATTAAGCTACACGTTTTTAGGTTTTTGATTCTTAAACTCACCAGCCGGCGTGGAAGCATCTTCAGCTCAAAAGTGAATGTTTTTCCCTGATTCTCCCAGTTCCTTTTGAGCCCTCATGTCAACATGCACAATTAATCCTTGGCTGCCTTCAAATTAAAATAAAAAAAGAAGAAGAAACCACAATAAGTTGTTCCGCCCGGCAAAAAGTGCAAATATCTCTGGCTGGTCCTCGATGTGATAGATCTATCGCATGGCTATGCTTCAAAGCGTGCTTTGCATGCAGATTTAGATATGTTAATCGCAGTCTAAACAACAAAGGTTGTGAATCAAAACCGAATGAAGATGTACAATTGTGTTACATTTTTGTACATTGCTGAAATCTCACTGCAAATTTTAGCGACTGCGGCAAATAGAAATAGGATGCAACAAACAAAAGGTTTCTTTGAGCCGAATAATGATTTTGAGCCTTTTTTTTCTTATTTAACCACGTGAAATATAAAATCTTTATTTTCAAGTATGATTCAAGCCTACAAAGCCAAAACAAACATAATGACGACCAAGTTTGAATTGAAAATTGAAGAGTAGAGGATTTGGTGAAGAGCGACTGCACTCAAAATGAGCACCATATCGTACTTTGGGTCAGGTAAAATCGGCCATAACGTTTATTCGAGCAATGGTGGTCTCACATTCTCAATTCAGTATAAGGCTTAAATAGCTTTTGTACTTTCATTAAGGCTCCACTTGAAAAAAGGCTTTCATGGGCCCGTTTAATTTGTCAAAGGTCCTGGTTTCTTGACAAAATTTGTCCGAGACTTTTGAGAAACGGGGTCCTGCTTGGCAACGTTAGCTCGTAAGTTCCTGATTTCACTCGTTGACATGACATTACTGATCCCCAATTATGTAGCTAGCGGGTGATTCCCGGCGAATTAACTAAACCGATGAAACCAGTGCACCAGTCATTATAAGATACCTTAACGAGCGAAGATGAATTCCAAATGATCTTTACGTTGAGAAATGACCATCACATTTCGTTCTTCCACTCATTAGCCAATAGCCCACTAGACACCAGCTATCCCCCTCCCTTTCTGCCTCTCATCCACTACGCCTCCTGAACCTGAGACCATCGGCCGTTTGATTTTTTTATCGCTTCCAGTCTGCCGGGTTAAAAAGAATGGAGAGAAAAGATCCGTGTTATTCCCTTCTCTGAATCTTTTAGACGAAATTCTTATCAGGATCATGAGTTAAGCTTCCCCCTTATTTACAAAAATCTGCCAAAAGTATCTGCCGCTGCGAGCAGGATTCGAACCTGCGCGGGGATACCCCATTGGATTTCAAGTCCAACGCCTTAACCACTCGGCCATCGCAGCTCCTTAGTACCGATGTTGCCAGGAAAAGTATAGATACTTACGCTTTATGAATAATACCAAAATGGCTCATAATATTTTTTCACCTTCTCGAGCATAGGAAATTGAAATGCAAAGAAATACATGCATTTCAACAAAACAATGTTGCTTCTGTAACCTTCCAAAACCTAATAGTTGCATGAAATGTTCAAATTTAGGTTCAGAAAGCCTACAATCAGTTCTTTTTCCTATTGAAATTTCAGTGTTCGTTTATGCAAATTAGAGAGAATCTTCCTTGTCTAACAACCGTTACCATGTTATGAAGTATGCCACCATTGGTAAGTCTTGGTAGAACTAATTTAAAGCAAATCGGCTTTGAGCAGAGAAACTGAGCGATAAGATTCAGTAAACCCTAGTACGATAGTTGCTAGAATTTTATCTGAAACTTGTTCGGTTCACTTTTACCAGCTCAAAGTTAAAATCTCTAGTAAGTTTCAATATTCAAATAATTGGTTCTTTTTTCAATTAGTCGTCCTGCAGCTACGCTTTATGTCACTCTCTTAAAATAAAATCATCACTGAGAGGGATTGGAGAAAAACATTTTTTTTGGTCAAATCGTGTTTGCTTCATAAACTACTGAGAACAATAAGAAAAATTTTTAACTTTAAACTTTGAACAACAGTTTGGTAATATATGGTTCAATTAATAAGTATTTCATATGCAAAACTCCAACAAAGGTAAACGTATTTATCCATCTATTTTTCAACCAAAAGTCTCACGCTGCGAGCAGGATTCGAACATGCGCGGGGAAATCCCAAATGGCTTTCATATCCAACGCCTTAACCATCGCGACGCTTCATAAACTAAAAGTTAAGAGGGCTTTACATTCACCTTGGACAAGGATGTTACATATGTATAATTTGAAACATTTTGTATCAGTGCTACAAATGGTGCGCGCTTTGGCGCCTTTTCCGCTTACATCAATCAAATCACACCACTTTACAAGGATGTACCCATGTGAGAATCTACTTGAGAAACTTGACGAGACCAACCCCACCCCACTGCGCTCGCTCTCATTTAGCCCTAGAGATCCCCACTCAAACATTTTACTTTGGAGGCCATGAATTATGGCTAATCTGTTCCGTATACATGTGGTTAAGATTCTAGAGTATTATGCCCTGGTAAGACCTTGTAGACCTTTCCATGAAGTTCTAGGAACATTAGTTTTAAAGATTTGATGAGATTCATCACCTCATTTTAACGTGAACATCTCTGATATTGCATCTGATAATATAAGTACGACATACTATCATATTTTCTGTTTTGGCACAAATTCTTGTCTGATTAGTTACGGTTGCTACGTACGGTTTCGTAAGAACGCCACTCAAGACATGTAATAAAACAAATGAATAAAAAGTGAGGTAGTAAATGAAAAATCTCATGCAATCTTCTTTTATAGTGCTTCAAATAAGCTTTGTCCTTAAGTCGTGGTGCTGAGTAAACGGTGATAAATGACCTCTCTATCAAGTCCTTTGTGACACGGCAGTGTGAGTGTGGTACGAAGAAACTCAGCGAATGCTGATCACTTCCCCGTTTGTTGGTCGTCAACAGAGCAACTGAATTTAACGAATTAAGAGTGAATTTCAGTATCATGGGGAGCTTTTCCAACATGTGGATAAAATATATATTCTCAAATGGTACATGTAAAGTGCGTTAGTACTCTTTAAGCATTTTCTTTTCGAAGGCTTTTCTTGTTATATGGACTTATCTTTGAATCTATGAACTGTTTGAATATTTATGTTTCCAACATTGAAAAACGTTGCTAAGATTTCTTAAAAGCTCATTCGACCTACTCATTTAATCACAGCTGCGATGGCCGAGTGGTTAAGGCGTTGGACTCGAAATCCAATGGGGTCTCCCCGCGCAGGTTCGAATCCTGCTCGCAGCGTGCACTACATACCATTTTGCCTTAATTGGTAACAAAGAAAACGAAGATTACTGCTTTCGTGCCACAGAGCAAATACTTTTCGGGTTGCTTCCAATTCACCTCCCCCATAACCTCGTTTTATACTGAATCTGAAGCTATTTCAGTAAAATTGATTTTTGTTACTGCTGGCCTGTCAAGACAAAATGCAACTCTTTAGTCGCTTCAGATTATTCCTCCTCATTTTATAAATCAGCACTTGCAATCTCGTCAAGACACTAGCTAATTTTGCATCTTCGTTTGTGATTATATTTTTTTAAGTAGAACGTAGACTTTGCATAATTATAAGAAGAACTGGTGAGCATGTAAGAATAATTTTACCAACTACCTTACATAACTAATTAAAGATGGATATAGAACGAAAACAAATCGTGCTTTATGTACAAAAATGTATATAAACTCCGAATAACTTGCTTAGCTAAAGCAAAGGAAGAGTTCACTGATAAAATCATCAACATAAAAAGCAACTATCTAGAATTCAATACTTCAAATACTTGTGAACGATAAATAGTCTAAAGGTCAATATTTACGAAGAGAATAATAAAAAAGGGAAAATATAAAGGTTGGTTTTAAGCGAAAGTTTCTTCACCAGAGGCGGCCCGTTCGATTGGAATTGTGGGCCTCTGGAGGTCTCCTTGTTAGGTCTTTGTGTAGACTTAATGTTCATGCAAGATGACTAAAATAGTGATAACGATGATGATGATGATGATGAAGTGCTGAGGTGAAAGAAACAGAGACATGTCCAAGCTTGATCCTCACTCGGGCACCTATGATTTTATGACTTTTGATGATTAATGACTATAGCAGCTTAACTTTACATTATAAATAAAGCCATCTTGTAAGTTATTATCCAAATACAGTACTTATTGATTAATACCCTCGTGCTACGTTTACTCTAAGATCAGTCCAGCAAATGAAATCGGGTCACTGATTAGCCTATCAGATTTGAGAATTGTACGGTAGCATCAATGAATGTGATTCTGGCTTTGAAAGCAATTTTTCAGCCTCGACCAACCAGTAAATTTAAAACATTTATTGGCTTCACCCCATGAAGCAGTCCCGAGACAATTAAGAATGTCTTATGCTTTAGAATCTACAAATGTTTCGCCTTTTTCTAGAATTCTAAAATCGAAATGGGATTTTCCCTCTCGGTGACAAAGGGTCCTCACTGGAAGGTAAAATAACTATATATATTATAAGAGCAAAAAATTTCAAATGTCTTGGTAAATCAAGCTGCTAGCGAGTATTTCATGCCAAATGCGTTGAAGTACAATTTACCACCAGTGATTTTTACCCCACAAATTATCATAATACTTAGGATGCATAGTGAGCTGGATAATCGAATGCATTTTTTTAATTCAATAATTCACTACAAAGCATCAGCATGTGTTCAAATACACGCCTTAATATCATTTACAACTGAAAATAAGCCAATAACCTTAAATAAAGTGATTCAGGAATCGTTACCTTAATTCCTAAACTAGAAAACGCAACCTTAAGCTTTGTTACCCATTATCCATCATTCAAAACATCTGTTGTAGGTCATTCGCGACATTTCCTTAGCCATCCTTGGTTAATTTTTCTCGCAAAAAATTAAAGTGCCCACTGCATCTTATTGATTTGTTTATTACCTTCTCAAAATATTTAGTCGCGTCAGTTTATCTTAGCGTAAACATCATTCTTATAAAACAAACCCAAAATTAATTTAATTAGAAACCTGTAAAAGCTATTATGTAGACGATAAGTTTATTTATTTCGCAACCCGCGTAAACAACATTTTTTTCAAAGAAAGCTGTAAAGCTTACACTTTGGTGGTTCTTTTCGGAATTTGAATTTTACTGCAAAAGCTACGTAGTGTCCAATATATCTCGATGGCAGCATGGTACTGGATTACTGGTTGGATTCTTAGTGTTATGTCCCTCGTTGGCAATGGTTTCACAATATGCTTAATCATAACCAGACGCCGATTGTTCACTCTTCCCAACTGGATTATTCTCTCGCTGGCCTTGGCCGATTTCCTTTTTGTCTTGAGCTACTTTCCGGCTTCGTTTTTCTGCAATGTGTTCTTCCATTGCCATCGTGGACACCGCATTATGGTGGCGTCCGTCTTCATGTATGCTTCTGTAACAAATTTGGTTGTTCTGACCATCGATCGGTATATCTCCATTGCACTGCCATTACGATACGTTGTTATGGTGACTACTCGACGTGTTTTGGCCGCTATCATTTCAGCCTGGCTTCTTTCGTTATCCCTTGCTCCAATTCATTATTTGGTAGAGAGGACAGAATCAAAGGATTTACAAAGAACGTTTGAAATAACCCGAATAGCAGTCATGGAAGTAGTACCCACTGTTGTTTTAATTACTACTACTATTCGAATGCTATTGATTAGAAAAAAGCACCGTCAACAAGCCGCCATTCAAGTCGCTCAATTACGCTACAACAAATGGAGGGGGGAACCTGATTGTCACTTCAAACTGTCAAGAACGCGGAGAGAGATGTCAACTGTTCAAATAATATGCGCTGTAGTAACTGTCTTTGTCGTTTGCTATGCCACAAATATTCTTTTGTCTTTTTGTATTGATCTTCATATCTGCGACCCACCGACTGAGATCCGGGATCTTTTAGGGATCTTGTTGATTGTGAACTCGTTAGTTAACCCTTTTGCTTATGCATTTTTGAAAAAAGACATAAAAAAAGAGTGCGAGGGGATTTTATGTCGAAAACAAATAGCTGACAAAACACGATGAAGTTCTGACGATTCGTTTGTCAATAGAACCGGCCACTAATATTAACGACTTTCTTGAAAGGTGTGGGTTTTTTTTTCCCTTTTTAAAGTTTCCTGTCGTAAAGAACAATGGCTGTTTGCTGTATGCATCTAATAAGATATCAACCAAAACTAACTTGTTCACAGTTATGATAATTGGGCTGAGGCCCCCATAAATTCCAGCAATTATAGACATGAAAATTTAACAGAATTAAACAACACAAGTCTGGACGCTTTAAACCAGCTAAAAAATACTGTGTTATTGCTACCCAATGCATACCAGTTTTAAAGAGATCGCTAAATAGCTACTTTGATGTACAAATTATTCAAAAAGAGAAATTTGAATGGCCTCGTTTAATCCACAACGATAACAACTTGGTTTCTACTAACACCAATAAAATGAATTTAAAATGTTTCGGTGAAGCCAACGCAACCTGTTAAAATACTAACTACTTGGTGTGTTTCTCCTTAATTACCTCTTCTTTACAACAGTTGTGTTTATAATTCATAAAAAGCAATAAAAAAGACGTATTTTAATATTCAGGTTTGTCAATAAAAGATGAAGTCTTTATGAGGGGCAACAGGACAAATGTTTTCATCGATAGAGGATTAAAAATATAGATCTGAACTGGTTCTAACATGACATAGACATAGGAATATCTTATAGCAGGCAGCAGCACGAAATAAAAAGAACAAGCGACTTTGCCGGACACCTCAGCCATTGATGATAAAATCGTTATTTACATTTACCATCGACAAACATCTTAATTGCAACGCCTTAAAAATCTACTATTTGATAAACCAGTCAAGATAATGATATTCTGGTGGACTCCTGCTTTTTTCATCGCCATTGAGCTGTAGAAAACGTACACTTACAACTGATATCAATGATCTATGTTTTCCTTTTCTTATTGTTTTCCTTCTAAGTCATGGATATGATTCCAAGTTACGTAACTATTGCATGGCTTTTAACCATCACAGCAATCATTGGAAACGGTCTGGTTATTTATCTCATAATCATCACAAAACAACTTCACACGACAACAAACTGGTTTATTCTGTCGCTTGCTGCGGCCGATTTGTCTTTTGCCGTTTGTTTTTTTCCCGTGGCGTTTTTTTGTGAAACAACTTTCGCCTGCGACAACGTTCTCCGTGGCATAATTGCGTGGCAATTCGCTACCATCGCCATTGCAAATCTCTGTGCAATGGCTACCGACAGATATATCGTCATCGTAACTCCATTCAAATACGTTCGTATTATGAACAAAAGACGAGTTCTCCTGCTCACTGGTTGCGCTTGGGGAGTACCCCCTCTTCTATATCTACCACCAAACTTATACATGCACTTTGTCGGCGCAACTGAGAACATTCACCTTTTATTCCAAGTCATATACAGTGTTCTCTTTGAGATATTGCCTTGCGTCTTTCTCTTAAGTGCGACGGGGAAAATTCTGGTCATATCAAGACGTCTTTACCGACAGACTGCAATAATGCATGCGCAATTGCGTTTTAATCAGATTAATCTCAGGCAGAACAAAGGACAATTTTCCGCCACAATTATTATTATAGTGGTGGGGCTCTTCATCTTGTTCTACACGATGGACGTAGTGGGATCTGCATGTTTCTACTTTGATGTCTGTGGACTAACTGATGAATTTCATCACGTTAGAAAGCTATTGTTGATCGCTAATTCCGCGGTTAACCCTTTCCCGTACGCTTTTATCAAAAGAGACATTAACAAAGAATTTAAGAAAATGTTTAAATTTCGAAAAGAAAGGCCGTAAGAGACATGACTATACGAGGCTAAGGACTCATTTCTTCATCGACAATTCCGAAAACTCAATTTCGCCGCTCGGTAGTTAAGACACAGCGGAAGCCGGCATTAAAACAGAGAAAGTTTGAACCAGTTTGTTTCGTTTTGTTTTCTTCCTCACATATCACCGAAAGACATATTCATTGATGGTTAAAAAGGATAATAACTTTGCACAACTCGGGAAAGTTCTGCGAAATATTACACAAATAATTCAACATGGATTTCTACTGAGATCAACAGTGGTTACTGTTCGTGATGTCGTTCCTTTTTCAGTTCAGTTGATTTAAATAAAAGCAGGCTTATACCTTTAAAACATGGAATTCACCAAAATTATTTGCTTATTTAAGTTATGTAATTAGTTACTTAAATAATGTAATAATACGCACTATTTTGGAACAAGTGGTATGAAGCTAAGATTCTTTTCATAATTTCATTTTCAAGTTGTTATGCCTTGACTGCCGGTAAAGTCTGAATTTATCCTTACACTTAAAGCAAGATCACTGGGCGAGCTGTCTAATCGGTACGTTCTAAGCAGTTCTCTCCTGAAATCTTTCTTTAATAATCCATACGCCACAGGATTCGCTGCGGAATTGGTTAAAATTAGAATGGAGGAAATTACATAGACGGATTCAGGTGGTAGGTGTTCACCAAAAACGGCCGCGATCCGGACGCAGACACCAAACAGGTAACAAATTAAGAACAAAATGACAATAGCAACGATGAGCTTTGTGGAAGAAATATCTTGGTCCGGGAAGGATTGTCTTCTGCCTCTTGCCTCAGAATAATTGAAATCTAACTGGGCTATGACTACGCATCGTTCTATGCGACACCTTCGAGCTATCAGCAAGATTCGCACAATGGCCAGGGGAAGAAGAAGGCAAGGAATAATTCCATATACGAATAATGTGCCGATGATGAAAACTTTCCAACAGGTTGTCCTTTGTGCCATTGAATTGGCCAAGTACGTCCACGATAAAGGCAGAAGCGCCGTGGCAGCTGGAAAACACCAGGCGGCCAATATGCCGAACATAACTCTTCTTTGAGTCATAGTGGTCAGATACTTCAGTGGCTTGACGATCGCGATGTATCGATCTACAGTCAATAAACAAAGGTTTGTTACGGAAGCACAGAGGAAAACATCAACACACAGCCAGTGAATATGTCTCTGGTAGCAGAATTCTTCCGCTTTACAAGCTCTGTAATAAGGAAGGAACGAAGCCCCAACAAATAGATCAGCTGCCGCTAAAGATAAGACGAACCAATTTGCTTTGGAGTGAAGCCTTTGCCTGAATGTGATCAGATATATAACAAGGCCATTGCCGACGATTGCGGTCGCAGTAATGATCCACTGAAGGACAACGACAAAAGTTTCTCTCCCTTGCATAGTGATTCGTTCGATATCTTCGAGAACACTTCTTCCATTCCATTACGTTTTAATAGATCAGGTTGTTACGAATGAATAAGCAAACATTAATTTCACTTCACTTTCACGTCGTTTCGTTTATAGAAGAGTTGAAGGTCATAACATATTAATAAACCATAAGGGAAGATTGGCTGCTCTGACCACCATGGCATTAATAGAAAGATAAGAGTCTAAATTTAAACCACGAGAAAAAAAATAATCTTACGCTTCCAAATGCCATAACGTAGCTAAGCAAGGCCATTTCCGAGTAAATCTCCCTATTTTGGACTGAGACGAGTCATTTTTCTCTCTCAAAAGCGTGATTTTTAAAACGCTCCTTTCCTTTGTCACGAATACCCTCTCAGCTGGGGACCCTCTGGAAAGTACCCTTGACATTGTTCTAAATTTGAACGACAAATCATTTTTCATTTTGCTAAGTGAGGTTAACCACATCTAAAACGCTTCTGTCACATTTTCCAAAGAATATCAGCAGCTAAGAAGCTTACATGGAGCTGTTCGACAAATTCAAGTTAAAATATACGGTATACACGCTATTTAAAAAAACTATCTCTATCTCAAAATCTAAGCCACTCGCACTATTAATATCAACAACGACAACGGGTAGTGAAATATCGAGTTTATTATAAACAGCTGGGAAATGCTCTTTCTTGGATGTTAATGCATTGAATATGTGCTGGCGAGATTCTTGTAAACTGTGGTTCGAGTGAACGATTCAAAAAGGGAAAAAACTCTCACTGAAAGGTCGAGATATCTGCACGATTCAGTTGAAAAAGGACACAATTCATACGCCACAAAGATCCTCAAACGATCATCCAGGGACAGACGGTACTCCACTTCATAAAGATCTTGGCCTATAGCAAGATTGTCTCTCACACAAAAATGTTAGAACTTTGAACGGAAGCGTAAACCCGCGAGGTGCCGTTTTCTTCGCTGATCAAGCTGAAGTAAATTGCCTTTTCAACACAAAATAAAGCAAATTGTTTAATCGTTTATTTGATTATTATCAGTTTCAGATCTTTTTTCAAATAATGGGATATTGATTTATCCTGATCTTATCAATTTCAATATTGCAATGTTTATGCAAAAATTTCGTAATAAACTTTATCCTTCGCCAAGGCTTTTAGTTTCTGAACAAATTATTGTGTTGCGTTGAAGGGCAAGTTAACCAATCGGTTGGTGATCACATATAAATAGATAAAGGCTGGTTAACCAAAGCAGCGAATTTTCAAAAGCTGAGGGTTAAGAGACCGATGAGAGCTAGCTCTTGGAAAGGTTAATACTTGAAACGTAAGCTATTCAAAATTCGCTTGGGCGGTTGATGATTATACGATTGTTTTGCTTCACACCTTGATGTATTCTCACCAAGCACCCGTCTCTCACGAGAGCCCAGCCCTCTCCTCCCCCCTTGTCATTACGCTTACGGCTTACACGGGTGGTGTAACACACATTTTCAAAGATAACATGAATTATATGCCTCTAAATCCACATAGAGTTATATCTTGCGTTTACAGGGATTGGAACTATCGAGCACGACCTGTGTGTTACGTCTATTGCGGCAACACGGTTTTCCTGTGATCAAGAGCTTTTTCAATGTTACGTTCCTTAAACGTGCTTAGATATCAGTAACCCTTCATCTTTATTATTTGATTAATGAAGAAGGACATTAACTATCGCCACTATCGTTGAAACTCCGTTCAAAATAATGGAAATGAAATAGAAACCGCCAAACACCTAGAGAAGGCAAACGCAGTTTCAGATCAGTTCCCCAATCCATTTCTTTTACAACCAACCTCAAAAGTGGATGAAACAAAACGGAATAAAAGAGTTAAAACAGAAACAAAAAGATCGGGGAGGGGGGCTTCCGTTATCGAAGAGTCTAATGGTCAACGTCAATAACTAATAGTCAACGTCTTTTTTAAGGATACATATAATGTACTCCATACCATTTAATTAAACAAATTACAGTGCAAGGAATATTTATCAACAGCCTTATTTAGTACTTTACGCCACCAATTCACTTTATTGTTTACAACAGTCTTTTACGTTCTATTACTTAACTATTAACCAAATCCACATACACACTCAAATGTGCTGAGAAGATTCAATTCAAAAGGAAAACAAAGTATTTCCTCTTACAAGCATGCGTGCTGTAAAAAGTGTCGAAAGAATCTTTATTTCATATATATTGGGATTTACACTAGTCGTTCGTGACTCTGATTGGACGAACGATGTATTTTCACAGTCGTTCCCTTCCAATCACTGAATTGAAATGTGAAAAAATCTCAGTTCGTATAGATTAAAAACATCATAGCATGGAAAGTGCTTGAACGATTTTTTACAGTCGTCGCGATGCATCAAAATACTCACTCGTTCTTTTTTTTCAATGCATCGCAACTCGCGCATAACAATCCGTTCGTGCGCGTTCTCCACGGAATAATCTGTACCAAATTATCCTCTCTCAAATAAGCGCCGCTCCTCTCCCTTCGAGTTTCTTCAAGGGCGAAGAGACAAGGAAAACCGTCAAGATTCAACCCAAGGAGAGTTACAGTTCGCCGAACGGAATGATTACAAGCCACTCCCTTCACCACTATCCCTGGTTTATTCATTATTTTAATCAGTGCCTAGGATTTCCATTCATTCAAGGAAATACATTAACTCAGGGAAAAAACGAAAATGATCTCAAGCACAAACTTATCTTATAAAAATTCAATCAATAGTATTTGAATTATTTCCATCAGAGCTCATTTTGAAACTGAAGCAATCTGCAAGTTACCTTAAATTACTTTAAGTGACTAAAACTATTACTCAAGCAAATAAAGGGCGTGACTTTCTTAAGAAACAGTGGTGTAACGTCAGTAGAGGGGTATAACAAGATAATCTGGTTTTATCAACTGAGTTAATAATGTAAATTGGTCACCGTAACGAGTTTCTAAAGCCAACGTTTCGAGCTTTAGCCCATCGTCAGAGCGATGACGAAGGACTACCTCTCGAAACGTCAGCTCGCTTAACCGACACGCTCGCCATTTTTCACCGAATGAACACAGTGTAAGTACGAAGGATATGACTAAAATGTGTAAGTGGAGGAGAGAGGATGAACCGAAGCTTAAGTACCTTTAAGACGTGACGATGGGACGAAATTGACGGGAGAGGAAAATGGAGAAGAAAATTCATGTATTCTATTAAATATCAATGCAGAGATCCTGAGTCCGATGCAGCCGAGTTGATCATTTTTTTAAATCACTGTAGGTTTCCAGAAGTCTTCGCTTCTTCCATTCTCCTGATGTAATTGGTGGATATTTATTTGAGCCATCCACGCACTCAATAAGTGCATCATGGTCTGGGTCGACAAATAATACTAATGAACGGCGAGGAACAGAGTGTTTTTGTTCAGCTTCTGGAATCAACACACGATGGACCTGGAAGAGAGAAATTGGTTGACAAAAACAAGAAGTTTTCATATTTGAATGTAGCTGAAAATTTAAGCTGAAATTGCTTGAATCTAAGCTGAAAGTAACGAACATTCAATGAAAATGAGAGAACTTATCATCTAAAAAAAAGGTAACAATCGGTGTAGATTAATTTGGATGAACACCACAATAAAAATTAAGTTCATAGTAGGAAAATAATTGTTCTCTATTAGTGCTGTGCAGGAAAAAGGAAAAACCTCTCAAGTGGTTGCCACACAAGCAAGCTACTGTATACAACCTGGACAAGTGTGGAGAGATGCTATAAAAATGTGACCTTGTGCCTCAAAATTAACGTTATATGTAGCAAAAAACTGCGTACTTCACATCAACATACTACATGCTGTTATAGCCGAAAATATTTCTCACTGCACGAGCACATTTTGTTCTCGTCGACCCCCAATTAGAAAATATCTAAAAAGATTCGTTCCCAAACTAGCCAATAAAGGAACATTTAATACCGTGGACTTAAGTTTATCAGCTGTCCATCTCTGCATCAGGTCTGCAATATTCACCACTACTGTGCCTTTCATGGGTGTGGCTGGTATAAACTGGCCATCGACATTTTGTACCTATTGCGACATTATTCAGAAGAACATTTATTCCCACCGGTAAAGCCCAGCCAATTTAAACACAAATCATAAACAACCTCTCAGGTAAGCCCCTCTCACATTTTTTACCATAATGGCTACGTTATTGGCCCTGATTTAAGCTGTCAAAGTTTTGAACGGCTTGGCTTCAAAATACATTGACTCTCAACTAGTAAAATATTTTTTGCAGTCCCGTGTGAATGTTGCAGTACATTCCATGTTCTCAGAGTGAGGACATTATTAACTCAATTTTGACTCAAGTAGATGATTTTTGTTTTTGGTTTGTTTGCTTTTTTCCCTTTATTAGGAAAAAGTGAAAGGTTTCTATAAAGATCAAGTATAACCTTTCCATTAAAGTAAAAATATGTTAAAAGAGAAGAAAATTGATAAGTGTGAGGTTAAAATAAAATACATGAGTATCATCATTTGCCCAAAAGTTTCCAAGGTTCTTAATACTCCTCCTCAAGTGAGCCCCTCTCTAATGAGCTCCCCTCTCTCAAACAAAGTCATTCCTCCTCTGCCACCCCCCAGGGGTATAGATGAACAAATAGACATAACAAGTACAAATATGGATGTGAATTTTAAAAAATTGCAATCCATCATCATGCAGTGAAAATGAATACAACATCTGCAAAGAAAGGAAATGACTACAAGACAGTTTAGATATTTGATTGTGTGACTTTGCCAGTCGTCAGGCTGATGATCGAGTGGGGCAAAAGAGAAGCCCTGAAAATATACCTTAGTTATCACATTTTATTATGGGAAATTTGGGTAGAAGTGTGACTAATACTTTGGCAATGGTAATGAGTTTGGTTTTAGTAAATCATGGTGTAATGTACATGAAAACGTATGATGAAAAACTCTATAATCACATTTGATGCTGTAAAATCAAGCATTCTTGTACCTCTAAGCCACCTATGTCATCTTGAAACAGTACTGAAATAGCACCATAGTCTGTATGCTCTCCACATCTGATCTGGCCAGGTTTGACTTTACTTAGATCTGATATCTTTGGATAAGCATTATACCTCATTTGAACTGCACCCTCAATGGTTCCCATCTTATTAAAGAATTTGGTAAATGTATTGGATTCCTGGAAGAAAGAATGGCAAAAGAAGCTTAATTTTTAACTCATGAAAGATGACAGGGCTACATCTTTGGTAACTCCGTCAACTTGACCAGTAAGCCACATGATGAAAACTAGGCCAAACTTTGTAATTCCTGTACAAATTTGTACTAAAATAACATACCAGTTGAAGACCAATGGCCATTGCAGTGAGAATCCTTAATGCAAGATCACTCATAGACTTGTAAAAAGAGTGCACAGTGCTCTTAAATTGTGGTACTTCTGCACTGGGCCAGTTCTATAAGGACAAAGAGAATTTACATTCAATACCAAGTGCCAAATGAAATAATTTACTTGATAACATAATGCAAGAATTGAAACAGCCTGCAGAGCATAATTTGTTAATTCCTCCAAGCCAAGTGAGAGCTTGTCATGTTTTCTCTGACTTTTGCAAATATCTTTGCTTGATGCCTTCTTAGCTCACACTTCTTAATCTTGACAAAATGCTGAAGGTTACCTTGGGATGGACTGGCATCTGATCCAGGTGGGTGGATGATTCTGTCCAGAGCTTATCCCCATTTCCATAGCATGATGTGCCTTACTACTACTCCACCTGGACACCATTCTAGGCCATCACATGTTTAACCCCCTAGTATTTCATCATATTTCCCTGAAAGTTCCTTGGAACCAATTTATATTTCCAGGAGGATGAAGATATTTTCTGGTCCAAAACACAACATATGTGACCCACCCAGGTCTTGACCCTCCATCATTCCCCCTCCCCTATCCCTTAATATCATAGAAGATGAGATAAGCCCTAACAGTGTAGACATAATAACTGTCAAGGGCTGAGTAGCACTCATACTTGCTTCATACCATCCAACATACATATCAGTGCAATTAAGTCAAACCACTGAATGTGATTCTGCAGCAGGAAACACAAAGCTATAATGATCACAAGGACTGTAACATACTGAACCATATTCTTCACCCTTAAAATTTGTTACAAAAAAGAACGACTTACAAAAGTTCCATCATCAAATGACTCAAGATCAAAAGATTCCTTCAAATCTCCAGGTCTGTCTAAGTTTGTTCTATAAAACAATAATACAGTATAAATATAGTATATACTATATAAAACCAAGCATCGTAAAGAGTTAAATATACAATTAAATACATTTCAATGGTATCACATACCTTTCAGCTTCTACAGCATCCCAACCATTTTGAGATGATACATTTTGGGAAGTGATTTTTTTCTTCCTATACTTAGCTTTCACTTCAGGACTTAGATTAAAAAACTTGTCATATGTTTCAAACACAGCATCCAACTGTAGAATGGCAAAGGAAAAAAGAAAAGTGTTTTCATTATGTAAGGTACTGCAATTCTAATCCCAGAGCAGACAACTGCATGATTAAAGGTACATCAGCCTCTGAGATTTAAAATCTAGAAATATTTGATTTTGGACAACGTGACCTCTTCCTCCCCTAAAAGCTGAAATTCACTAAATGCATTTCTTCAGAAATCATAAAAGACTCAACTTGAATATGACTACAACAAACAACAACAATTATACTTTTATGGAGATAATGTGCTTGATTCAACCTCTTTTATAGAATAAATACACTGTTTCACTCACGATTTTACATTTCCAGGAAGATTTAGCAAATTGTTTGGGAGACCAAGAGACACTGTTGTACAATGAATTTGTACAACAGTGTTAGGTTATCAGGTTATCCAGGATACCATGTTAGGTTACCAGGTTATCCAGGAGAATCCTGGATAACCTGGGAAAGTTGGTTTATAATTTCATGCAATGTTTGGGAGATAGTGTTAATAGGAGTATACACATGGAATATACTCAGGCAATTTGCAGAACGTTGATGTGTGATAGATTTTCATTGAACCCTGACATTGACTTGATCAGAAAATTAATTACCTCCCTTGGCCTTACAAAACAAATAACTATTGAACAACTTCAAACAAAACAACTGAAAAATAAAACTGACACTGAAATTTAATGCTAATGAGACTTTGGCTTGTAAGCACGACCACATAAGTTTACAGCTGATTAAAAGTCTCTTCTGCACGTTTTAGGAGCGATAAAGAGTGAACGGAAAGATTTCCGTATAGTTAACCTCCATATTATTTTAAAGCAAGCCGTAGTTCCGAAGCCAATCCATTGTATTCACCATTCTTTTCTTTATCCTAGAGCTGTATGAATAACGAAGTATGGGGCTGTGTGGAAATTTTGCTAAGTGGACAAACTTTGAATTTAAATTTCATCTTTCATATATGAGTTCTGTTACATCATACATTTACGCATAGTTAAGGGGCAGCACGTCGAAACCTGCACTCAACATTATTATTTTTTTTTTTTGGTTTGTTTTTCTTCTTTATTCTAATAAAAGAATATCACTTGCGATTATTAAGCAACAAACTTACCTCTTCTTGTGGAATTCCATGATTTTTAAGATACACAAATCCAATCGTACTAAAAGCTCGATATAGTTGATCAGCAAGAGTTTTAATAGCTTGGCTGTTATTGTCTGGAAGATTCGCGTTTTGAAGGCTCATGGCACTGAAGTCAACAATCGGGATCGCACAAGTCGCAGCCGCCATTTTGAACAAACGTTTTAGAGTAGCCCTGGGACGAGCTGTTCAATGACTAAGGGTTAGTCTTTCGGGTAACTCTTTCGGGTAGTTCGGGTTGCTTTCGGGTATGACCAGTCAAGGGGGGAAGAGAGAGGACCCTAAGAACGAGGTTGCTCAAAAAAACGACAGGAAAACAATCGTTGCTAGGGAAAGGCATAAGGGTATCTAGATTTCCACAAAATTTGCTTCGAAAGATTAGCCAAATGTCGTTGAGAAATGCTTATGAAAACTGACAAATAGGTAAACACAACAGGCCAAATACCGAATACTCGTACTTTTAGTAACACGAGGAATCTTACAGCGTTCAAATGGTATCAACACCACACTGAATTAGTAATTTCGAAAGTTGCACAAATAGCTTGACTAACTATGGCTTGGTCGATACCATTAAAAGAAGTTTTTAACAGGGTGTTCAAACGTAGATTTACAACTAGAATATCCATTCGCAGTGGTATCAGTGGGAATCCTGAATCCCATTCAGCGAGCACGATCCATGCATCACCTACAATTTTCGTTTATCAAAACTAAAAAAAACTATAAAACTTACCTCCTCTATGCAACTTTCGGAAATAAAGGTAAGTCTTGTGCTAATGCGTGTATAGAATACACGCCTAATCCGACAGTTTTGAAAAAATCTTCTGTCAGTCAAACTTCAATCACAAAGCCTCTTTGGTTCATGGCCTGTTCTCAGAGCTGCAACCGAACTAATCACATCCTTTAAGATGCTACATTTAAACAGTGAGTTGATTATTGATGTGTGACTGATCTTAAGATCATCGTCTGCATAGACAAAAGGCGTGCGTCATTTAATGATCGTCTTCCTCTTTTCAACAACATCCGTTCATGGCGTGCCGTTTCAAAAATGATGTTTGCCTGATTCTTTTGAGAAGAGTAAGGTAACCCAAAAGTATGTTCCGTGGGAAGAGTTTGATTTTTTTATTCCAAACAGCTGTGTCTTCAGCTGCTGATCACAAAAGACGTCAAAATGAGTTGAGAACATCACTCAGACACACAGTCACTCAATTCTCATTGGCCCGCCGACACCTACGTGATTTCCGTTTGTCGTTTCTCTTCAAGCCAGAATCCTCTTTGCCAGCAAACTGATTTCTCAAAAGCTACTTTTGATTCCAAACAGCTGCGTCTTCAGCTGCTGATCACAAAAGACGTCAAAATTAGTTGAGAATATCACTCAGACACACTCACATAAGTCTCATTGTTCCGCCGACACCTACGTGATTTCCGTTTGTCGTTTATATTTATCAGCTGCTCAGTTTCATTTCATATTTTATCGAGCACATTACGCCTCAAAATAAAACTTCAGCAGGAGCTATTAAAAAATTTTCCCCACAATAAATGTCTCTTTGGAAATAGATTACAAAAGATCTCAAAATGAATCAAGAGTGTCAGCTTGACACACTCGCTTGAGTTTCAATGGCCTGCGAACACATACGTGATTTCCGGTTTCCGATTCTCATCTGAGCGGAAATGCATTGGCTTTCCAATGGCTAACGTCTCAAGAGCGCGACTCAGTTTTATTCTTAAGAGATTCTCGAGTCATCTTTGCATCGGCAGAAGAGAGTTCAGCCTGAACAATTTGACACTTTAATTCTCGTTATGTTTCTTCAGCTACAGATCACGGAAGAGCGGATGTTTATGTATTCCTAGTTGTCGCTTTTTTTTTCTTCTTTTTCGGCCATGAACGCGTTTACCTTTGTGTGCGACCACAGTTTAAAGTTATCTGTGATCACAAACAGTATGTTTGTGGTGCTATATTTAAACAGTGGCTTGATTATTGATGTGTGACTGATCTTGAGATCATCGTCGGCATACACAAAAGGCGTGCGTCATTTCATGATCGTCTTCCTCTTTTCAACAACATCCGTTCATGGCGTGCCGTTTTAAAAATGATGTTTGCCAGATTCTTTAGGGAAGAGTAAGGTAACCCAAAAGTATGTTTTGTAAGAATAGTTTAACTTTTGATTCCAAACAGCTGCGTCTTCAGCTACTGATCACAAAAGACGTCAAAATTAGTTGAGAATATCACTCAGACACACTCACATAAGTCTCATTGTTCCGCCGACACCTACGTGATTTCCGTTTGTCGTTTCTCTTCAAGCCAGAATCCTCTTTGCCAGCAAACTAATTTCTCAAAAGCTACTCAGTTTCATTCTAACCACATTTTATCAGTCATATTTTATCGAGCACATTACGCCTCGAAATAAAACTTCAGCAGGAGCTGTTAAAAAATATTCCCCACAATAACTGTCTCTTTGGAAATAAATTACAAAGGATGCCGAAATGGAACAATGGACCTTTTTACAGTTCCCGGCGCCATATTGGATTAGTAACCGCGCACACACGATAACGAGGCTGGGGTTGACCCGGTGTCACAGCGGATTTGGACTCCCCTCCGCGGATTTGGACCCCCAGCAAAACTGAGTGAAACATCATCCTTGACGTTCTAGTAGAAATACTTTACGTTCCAGTGCGTATTAAAGTATGTTTTTGATTCAAAACATGCAATTGGCAGCTGGGAATGACCCTTTCTGCGAAAGTCGAACACCGTTAGATTCAATAATAGACAAACTTTTGACTTTAATTTATTTTGTTATTGTTCAATGCCCGAGTGTTTGGACGACATGGTACAGTGCGAGTTGTGCGAGGAATGGTTGCACATGAGCTGCGAGGAATATAAGACTGCCCTGGAGGGCAAGCGGCTCTGCATTGTCTGCAAACCGCTAGACTCTAAACGTCTTCGTAATTGTTAAGGTGTTATTTCTCAACGGTTAATATTCGTTGAAATTAGAAAATAAGATTGAGTTCGATGTGATAGTCACCACTTTAGTTAGGACGTAGACATTAATGTTGATTTGCCTTTGAAAATAAGCTGAGAGTTCCAATTGCTCAGAATGGAAACATTTTTACTTACCATAGGCTTTACGAACGACTTTTAGCAGGAGTTGTTACTTCGTTCTTGTTCAGAAACTGTTTAATGTTATTTAATTAGAAAATCAGACTGAGTTATTTTTGCGACGGGATGCAACAGTTTGCACTAATGTTATGACGTTTCGTATTAATGTTGATTCGCATCAGAAGAAGCAAAGATTTACTGGAACAATTTCAAGAGTTCGAATGCAGTAGTTTGTTTGCATTTAATTATTGCCTATACTGGACGACTCGCTATAATACATGCGGCAGAATTGGAACGAAATGGCTGTTTTTCTTTACCTTTACTGAGGAATGTTGTTCTGTGATGGAAAAGAATATCGGCAAAAAGCTTCCAAATAGAATTAGTGACCAAGTATGATACAAACGATGCTTAAAAGAAACGTTTTGTAGGGGTGTCCAAATCTGCGAAGGGGGGTCCATATACGCTAGCGGATTTGGACCGGGGGTCCAAATCCGCGGGGGGTCCAAATCCGCTGTGACACCGGCGGTTCTTTCAAACAGCTGATATGCTGACATTTCACGTTCTAATGCACTTTTCAATGTGATTTCTCCCTTCAAAATGATTCTTTAATACAACAATATGGAAATTTCGTCATTAAATGACACCCAGAAACTCGAAGCAAAAGATCTCAGGGAGATTTTAAAATCTAATTCAAAATCGACGGGCGGAATTAGAGCCGACTTAAAGTTCATGCTTTGCTGATGTGACACGTCCTTCCATCAAGTAGTGGAGAAAACCGAGAACCTCTTACAGATGTCTAGGGCCTAGAACAAAACCAGAGCGACTTCAGATACTAAGCAACTATGGTAAGGATTTCAGCCCTTGGATGGTCGAGCGATCTCCGTAATTTACCTGAGATTAATTTCATTCAGCTTTACGATTACCTTGTTGTTTCACGAGAATATCGCCACATCGTGTTAAGAGGAACGCATCACAGGAAGTACCACAGAAGTTGTTCAGTATGGCTTAGAAAGCGAGGCAAAGGCTGTAGCCCTCTAGGTAGAGGAGATTTGTTATTGCTGCTGTTGTTGTGGTACTTGTTGTTGTACCATATTCTTCAGTTAAAGTTATTCCCATTTTGTTTACCAAGATGTATTTTAGTTTGCCATTTATACATTGTATCTTATGGGAAACTATACAATTCAAACGTGATTTCCGGTTTCCGATTCTCTTCTGAGCGGAAATGCATTGGCCTTCCAAGGCTAACGTCTCAAGTGCGCGACTCAGTTTTATTCTCAAGAGATTCTCGAGTCATCTTTGCATCGGGCAGAATGGGTTTCATGTAAGAATAAAGTTTAGCATGAGCAATTTGACCCTAGAACTCTCGTTATGTTTCTTAAGCTACAGATCACGGAAGAGCGGATGTTTATGTATTCCTAGTTGTCGCTTTTTTTTTTCCTTTTCGGCCATGAATGCGTCTACCTTTGTGTGCGACCACAGTTTAAAGTTATCTTTGATCACAAATTGAACGGGTGCACAGAAAATGGAATATTGTTATCTATGGGTGTGTGGCTGATAAACAATGTAGCGCTTGACTGACTGTGTGCACTATACAAGCCAACGCTTCTTCCCTTCTCCATTTGAATTTCTCTCTCTTTGTAAAAAAAAAAAGGATATTGAGTATACTAGATCATGGAAAAGGTGTCAAAATGTGTTCAGAGTTAACCATAGAGATGCAATCTACTTCTCAAGTTCCACTAAGTTTTATTTATACCACATAATGACGTCATTATTATTGACTATCATTGTCATCGTTTCGTCATGATGGGTGTATAACTTATATATCCAATAAAATAAATAAAGTATTGTAAAGTTATATTGGTCATTTCTAACTTCTCTTTAAGTAATAAGAATAATTATTCACGCATTTTGATCTGTAATTTTCGCCTACGATCTATAACACTGCAACAAATGGTTGCTTTGTTATCATTCAAAACAAATAGATTCCATGTTCCCGTGGGTATGTACAGTACAGACCGCACAAGATGTCAAAATGTGGTAAGAACATCAGTGACACACTCGGCTGCGCCCCAAGTGCCGCTTTTTTGTTCTCACCACATTTTGACATCATCTGTGATCTGTTACTGAACAAACACACAGCAAAGAATTTTGATAGAACGTTAAACCAAGATAACTACATCGGCCAACCAGAAAAAAAAAAACAAAAAAAAACATCAGAAGGAGCCAATAAAAATGAAACGTAAAAAAACAACCAAATTGTCTTAAGTGCGAGAAAACGCGAGCAACCATGGTTAAATTCATTGGTCAAGGTGACATAAGTTCTCTCTAAACCAATCATTGAGCACCATGAGAATTATCAAAAAAAAGAGACCCAGATTTTTCTCGTAAATTAATGGAAAAAAACCCTATCAATATGTTAGCATTAAAAATGTATTCTTCACTGAGATAAAGATAAACGTAATCCAGTAGTTAAAATTCCAATTGCATTGGCATGTTTGTGAAGTTTAGGTTCACTTGCCTCACTTTCAATAACTATATGTGGCAGAGAGTTTTCCCTTGATCCATTCTCCAGCTGTAATCGGTGGATATTTGCTTGAGCCATCTAAACAACTTATTAGTGAAGACGGATCTGGATCAACAAAAAACACCAATGACCGACGAGGAACACGCCGCTTGATTTCTACTTCAGGTATTAGTACTCGGTGAACCTGAAAGAAGATTCAATTCGATAAACGTTCTGATTATGCACTATATCCAAACCATTATGCAAAGATCACGCTGCATTATCAAGGTCCTTGTAAGATAACTGTGGGTGGAGTAAAAATGAGGTAAGGAAACGTTTGTACTCAAGCAAAGTGGCCCACCCAGTTAAAGCTTACCTTGCTTTCCATACCATGAAGTGTCAAGGAGTGTCACTACCCCTCTCCTTCCAACACTGGCTGGGATGCTAATCTATTGCTAGGTTACCCCCCAGTATTTTATCAAGCTACCCTGAAAATTTGCCAGTACCCATTTATACTCCTGTACAAAGAAAGGCACAGTGAAAGTAAAGTGTTTTGAACCTGGACTGCTTGACTGATCAATTGATTTATTTGTGGCAACAAATTTTGAGCATGAGCCTGACAAAAATTTACTGGTGAATACTACGCACTCCAAAGAAAATGTATCAGGAAAAGAATGAAGACAAAAAAAAAGGTGCAAAATCGATAATAATAAAACACACACACACATGTATGCACACAAAACAGGGCATACAAGGTACAGTTACAATAGAAAGCCCTAACAAATGTAATATTTGTAAAATGCTGACTTCTAAGAAATGTTCTAGTACATATTTTAACACACAGAGAAGTTGTCATGATTATCTATTGTCTGCTAGATTCATACCGTAGATTTAAGTGTGTCACTTGTCCATCTTTGCATCAAATCACCAATATTTACTAGTACTGTTCCTTTCATGGGTGTAGCAGGAACAAATCGCCCATCATATTTAATGTTTGAAACCTGCATTTAGCAATAAGTACAATTTAGTATGATACTAATCAAAACTATTAAAAAAATCATTGGACATGATTTGTCTTGGCCAATGTGACTCGAGACCACTAGAGACAATGCAAGAATCATTATTTTAATTGAACAATGCAAATAATTCATTTGTTCTGTTTTAACTATTTCTCCCTTAACACTATAAAGCACCTGGATTCTTTTTGAACTTTTAACTTTCACCTTTTAAGTTCACGTTCAAAGATTTGCTTTTTTGACAAATGAAGTCTTAATTGTGCACTGGGAATTATTTTGCTTTCATCTCCCAAGTACAAGTGTACCCTTGGATAAAAGAAAAACTTTATTCTAACCTCAAGTCCACCCACATCATCCTGAATCAGCAATGTAATGCCACCATAATCAGTATGTTCCCCACAGCGTATCTGGCCTGGCTTCACTTTCCTGATGTCTGCTATCATTGGGTAGTAGTTGTATCTGAGCTGAGTGCCACCAGAGGATGTACCCATATTCTCAAATGCATAGGCAAATTTGTTGGGCTCCTTGTTATGAAAATATGTGGTGAAAATGTTACCTTAAATTTTCAATCAAAACAATTACTTTAAATTGAACCATGGGGTAAAGAGTCAAAGACAGGGCAGAGTAGCAGAGCAGGGAGTGCATTCAAAACTACAGATAAAAAAGTGGCTGTACAAAATCTTAAGATTATATAATAGATAACATGCGATTATAATAATGTGACTAGAAAAAATCAAATCTTACTTATCATCGAAAGTTACCTTCAAAATAATTCGTAAGATGGAAATCAAACTTATGGCAACTTACCATTTTTAGGCCTATAGCCATTAGAGACAGCACTCTTTTACTAAGAGCCATAAGGGACTCATACATAGGAGTAATAGTTCTCTGGAAAATTGGGACATCTTTGTCGGGCCAGTTCTGCCATGATAAAGTTGATTTAAAATAAGCCAAGTGAAGCTACTCCATATGTGAAATTAATGATCATTTGTGTGCATACTGAATTTGTTGGCTGTCATTAAAATCATAAGTGTGTTTTTGTGAAAAATAACTTTAGGTGATCACACTGTGTGTGAGAGTTAAGTTTGCAATATTTTCCAATGGATAGAATGACAACAAACTTATTCTACATGCTTGTTTTGAAAGGAAAGTAACAGTGCCACTCACAAAGTTTTCATCATAGACTGCACCCACATCAAATGATTCTTTGAGATCTCCAGGTCTCTCTGGATTAGTGCTGTGCATAAATTAGACAAAGAGACTTCAATCATGATTTTATAATCTGCACTGGACTGTTAACTTGCGAATAATACATGGTCAGTATGGATGTTCAGAGCAAAGGAAGTCATCCTCTTTAAGACACTTGTTGGTACTGGCTGTACTAAAATAGGTAGACAAAGGCATTGTAGCAAAGGGAAGCCGAGAGAGACCTTGGCTTCCCTTCCCTTCAGAAACACAGAAAAAGAGTGAGCACATCCATGTCCGCATTAGAACTTGGAAATAAATAGAAACTAAGACTAAAGATGGGTAAACTTGAGGAACATGTTGACATGGTAGGTCTCTCCTAGCAAGGGATCACAAACCTTTCTCTCTCAAGAGCATCCCAACCATTTGAAGATGTTCCTTTATCCTTAGTGTACTTTTCCTTTACATCTTGGTTTAATTCAAAAAACCTGTCAAACGTCTTGAAAACGGAGTCAATCTGCAAGGTAAAACAATCAGAAAAATGACGGAAAAGTATCAACAGACCTATCACCACCTCTCACTCATGGTATTGTTGTGCCTGGGCACTAATAGCTAACTTCTTACGAGTACATGCTGGAAAGATGCCCCCCCCTTGATAAACTTGATCAGCAAGGTCTTCAATGTCTTTACTGAAGGATCTTTGTTTTCTAGACTCAAAGCACTGAAGTCCACGACTGGGATTTCATCGGTAAGCCACGTTATATTTAAGCGAAATGTTCCAGGCTTTCGTGCCCAATCTCTTTTCAACCGAGTTTTCCTTGTTCGGTTGTCTAATAGACGTCATGGTCTACTTTTCATTTAGCTACGTAATAACTTCATAGTTAAAGTTAGGAATTTAGAAGGAAGTCGTTTTAAAAAATAATCAACCTCAATCTCATATGCACTGATGGGTGATATAACGTATTTCCCCTTGGCGCAATTTGTCCACATCGTAAAGTAGCGTAAAGACGTAAATTTTTTTTCGTGTGGTTAAGTTTGATTCGTGACGACATCTATTTTGCACCCTCGTAAAAAGCTGAATTCGCTTACCACTTCTTGGGGAATACCATGGTTTTTTAGATAAACAAATCCAATTGTACTAAACGCTTGATAAACTTGATCAGCAAGCTCTTCAATGTCTTTACTTATTTTGCTGAAAGGATCTTTGTTTTCTAGACTCAAAGCACTGAAGTCCACAACAGGGATTTCGTCGGTGGCCATCTTGAGCGAAATGTTCCAGGCTTTCGTGCCCAATCTCTTTTCAACCCGGCTATACATTGCTGATTTGATTCCATGTTTGGCTCTCTAATAATCGTCATACTCTACTTTTCATTCAGTTACATAATAACTTCATAGTTAAAGTTAGGAATTTAGAAGGAAGTCATTTTCAAAAATAATCAACCAACCTCATTTCGGAAACGAGCACGTGGCTCCAAAAAGAAAGGTAAAAACTGGCGATAAGTTTCTCTTTGAATCAGAGCAAAAATCACAAAATAAGTTATTGCTTACCAATGTTCCCGGGTCTTGATTACTAGCTATATCAAGAATTACGGTCTAAAAAATTGTCTTCTATTCCAACGATCTTGGGTACACGGGGTCTTATTCTTAACTGAAACCTTCACTATAATTTTCTATCTTAATAATCACGGAGGCGTCAATCTAAACTGAAAATATTTCGCAGCTTCTCTCGGAAGCGGTAACATTCAGCTTTATCTGGAGCGGTTTCAAAAAGGGTCAGAAACCTGGGTTTTTGGTAAGTTGTGCCAAAACATATCAATGTATATCTTCAACTTACCCATCTACGTACAGTGTGGGTCTATTATTGCTCCTTGGCCAATTTGAGGGAAAAAATTAAAATCAATCATGAATTGGTCACTCGCATCTCCCGCACTTAAAGTAGTTTGCATGTAGCTATATATAGTAATCACGAGTATCTCAGTGTAACAATTTAATTTGTCACGGTACTGATTGAGCGTTTCCTTTTGGTTCTTAGACACTCATCAGAGGACACTTCTAGTAGTTGGAGGACGGAATACAATAGAAAGAATTTGACAAGCATTAAAAAGCACTTCAGTCTGACAATATGTGCAGCACACACATCACCTACTACACTGAAGGTAAATTATGCTTCGAAAGTACCCGAGTTCATCATTCGGTTTCGCCAGGAAAAATGAGGGACAAGTGTCGAGATGTTGCGCTGTTTCATGAAATACTGAACCTCATTGACCAAGGCTTAACCTGTGTCTGCTAGCACTAGGTACTCTACCTGATTTTTATGTTATGAACCGATCGTAAGCCCAGAAAATCCTATTTAAATCATCGCTAACTGTTCGTGCCTTTGACACATATTCATCTTCTTCTTACAATCGTATCTGGTGCAACGCGTCTTCGGAAAAAGAAACCCGTATACCCCTGAGGAAGAGAAGCAAGATGATCCTGACTCGAGCCCGAAACTTTCGATCTTGAATTCAGCCAGCAAACCATTAGGCCAGCCACAAAAACCAGCGATTTCAGTATCGTCACAGATTCACGGTGAGAAGAGCGATACTGTATGAAATGCTTAATTCTGATAAAGAGCTAAACTGCTTTCTCCAAATGACTATAAACTTGATGTCAACATTTATTACGCCACTCCTTTCTCTATTGCCGGTATGCTTCAGTCTTCTACAAATCGAACCTGACATGACGAACACAATCAGTTACTGGTTTCAATCACCTCCTAGTATCCAAAATCTTGTGAACTGTTTCAGTATTCGTAAGTCGCTTTGAGCCGTTGCCATAGGTAATCATAGGCCGTTATTGGAGGATACTTCTGAGATCCATCAAGACATTCAATCACCGTGTCGTCATCGGGGTGGACAAAAAAGGCTAAAGAACGTCTCGGAACGCGCCGGTGACACTCTTCTGATGGAATGGAAACTCGATGGCGCTGAAAAAAAGAAACCACAAGGAAAAGGAGACATGGAAGAGTAGGAAGAAACTTATTTCAACTTTGAAGTGTTCCTCTACCACCTTCTTTAGGGGTGTGGGCAGATGTTATGACCAATAGCCACCTTCTGGATACCCCCATCGTTATTTCCTTCATAACGTCACCTCTTTAATACGATTAGCCTCACGAGGAATAGGAATTTATCCCTACAATCACAATCGTGTAATAGATCTGCTTCAAAAGTTTACATAATTTTCTCCATTCTACTGAAGGCAGAAGTATTGCTAGTCTAGGTAAAACAATTCTCTTTAGAAAACTTAGTATTTTTTACACAATCCCACCCCTTTTATGCGGCCACAATGGTGGTAATATCAACAGGTTTCTGTATCAGCAGGTATCTCCTTACCGTTGACTTCAGCCGGTCACCAGTCCACCTCTGCATGAGGTCTGCTACATTGACCACTATTGCTCCTGGGAGGGGAGGGGCAGGTACATACTCTGAACATCCAAGA